AAAAACACGTAAATATTTAAACGCTATTTTTTTACTTGCATTGTAAAGTAATTGTATTTTTTTCCCATTTTTTATACAGCCAGATAATACGACAAATGGCTAACCTTAAACACCCAGTTGTTCATAAAAAATGTAAGGCAGTATAGGACTATAGTAATAGAGCAAGTGCAGAATCACTGTACCGGAATTGATAGCTTGAAAGCATTTAGCGCGGGGCCCTTGAAAGTGCGGGGCCCGTAGCATTTGTAGCTACTTGTGCTACTGGGATAAATCCGGCACTGCTTGTAATGTGAGAACTATTTGAAACGAAACGTATGTGTCATTGCAAGACGGAAGATGCACTTGCAGCGTGTGCTAAACAGTGCTTTGCGATGTGACTTTGGTACTTTCGTTTCGGGTTTGTTTACTCATTCGTTTTCCTCCCCGCAAACAACTACCGGCTGCGCTTCCTCGTTACATACGATTCGTTGTAATGTATAGCTCGCAATATCGCTGCCTATCGTGTCGCCACTTGCGTTCGCACACCAACGGGGGGGGAGGTCAGAGATCATCTCTAGCCGTAAATGAACCCCGATAATTAACGCAAAATAAACGCCAACCTGGCTGCCCACCATGCACACACACACACTATCACACTGTGTGTGTACATGGTGGGCACACTGTGTGTGTGTGGAGACGGTTGTCGCAGTGGTTCGCATCCTGCGCGACGAAACCCGCCGAGCCGAGTTCGATTCTCGCTCACGGCTGAAATCGGTGACGAGTATATGCACCTGTCCTGGGTCTCCCCTAGGTAGACTCAGCCTCAAATGAGTTACTGTCGCGATGTTCAAACATCGCTACTGGGGAGACAAAGTCGTGCCGGGCTTCATAGGTGACCGCGAACAGCACTTGCCCCAGAAGTCTGCTAAGGCTATTTGGAGGATCTTTGTCGCACCAGGCCGTACTGCGTGTAAACACTTTGTACAACACACGGATATGTGACCTTCATGCCTTCTTCGACCTTAACACCATTAGACATTATAAGGTTTGTTATTTTTTTCATGTCGTGCTTAGAAATGGAGCAATATCTGTCATATGACCTTTCAATGGCAATTCTGGTTTGTTGTATCAAGACCACATGTTAGTTCATCGTCATTGCCCATTTATGAAAAAAAAAAATTGCATTGCATGAATACATACAAACTCGCGCTCAGGCACGCAGTTCATACAAACTCGCGCTCAGGCACGCAGTTCACAAACATATTCTATGAAGAAAAATAAGTGGGCTTGGGCAGAACACATCGCTAGGAGGGACGATGGCCACCAATGATCGACAGTGGCAGCCAAAGTGTGGTGGTGGGGTGGTGGGAGGTCACAACCGAAATACGTCCACCGTGGAGATGGAGCGGTAAAATCGGCTCGCGTGGTGGTGGTGGTGGGGGTGGTGGTGGTGGTGGGGGTGGTGGTTGTGGTGGTGGTGGTGATGAAGGTGATGGTGGTGAATGCGCTGGTGATGGTGGTAGTGATGAAGATGGTGGTGGTGGGGGTGGTGGTGGTGGTGATGGTGGTGATGGTGGTGGTGGTGATGAAGGTGGTGGTGGTGCTGGTGGTGGTGATGGTGGTGGTGATGGTGGTGGTGATGGTGGTGGTAATGGTGGTGGTGGTGGTGATGAAGGTGGTGGTGGTGGTGGTGAATGCGCTGGTGATGGTGGTAGTGATGAAGGTGGTGGTGGGGGTGGTGGTGGTGATGGTGGTGATGGTGGTGGTGATGGTGGTGGTGGTGATGGTGGTGGTGGTGGTGATGAAGGTGGTGGTGGTGGTGGTGATGAAGGTGGTGGTGGTGGTGATGAAAGTGGTGGTGGTGGTGGTGATGGTGGTGGTGGTGATGGTGGTGGTGCTGCTGGACGGACCGTTGCATCGCGGGGCAGCGACGGACGGCGACAACTTTGCGGAGAGATCGCGGCAAGTGGAGTCTGTGGGTATTAAGTCACGTCACTTTTCCAGTCTATCAGCGACCGGGACAATATGCCTCGAGAGAAATTAAACCATTTCATGGGAATATAAATAACGAGTATCTCATTATAATGAGTATCTCTACCGTGGGTACAGTTTTGAAAACGAAACCCCTTTCATTGCTATCCCGCGCAAATATTTGAGCATTTTATTTTTGGGTCCTTGCTGACACGAAAATGTTGGCAGTGGCCCACGTTGCCCGGACAGCCAGGGCCACGTTCTTCGCAGTCGCCCGTTGCCAGGCTGTGGATTGGGGTGTTTGAGGGCAGCGCTAATCTGCCAGCTCAATGAATATCATTGTGTTCCTGTTGGCGCCAATGGCTCCCACACATTCCTGTGCCGATATGTAAACCTGTGTGGTTGTTTACTGTATTGCCGTCATCGTGGTCATCGCCAGCTATATTCTATCTACTGCTGGGTGAAGCCCTCGCCCAAGATGTCAACATTCGACGGTCATCCAGTTCGACAGTGCACCTAGATGCTGCATGGATGCTGATGTCATCGCTCCATCTTTGTGGTAGACGTCCTCTCGGGCGTGTTCCCCACTTTGGCCGTCACCCCATCGTAAATTTCGACCACCATGCAAGTGACGTGACCTGCCCCATACCCCCTTTACTCTGTCTCATCAGTCAACATGATATATCTAACTTGCGCATGTTCTCTGATCCACGAGCCGCTCTTTCTCTCAGTGCAAGGATGCTTCTTCGTGAAATTTTCTGTCCATAGGCAATGTTTTTTTTGATCTGGGTGTCATAGCAGGTAGGAAGTGTTTATACCCTGAACAATATGATTTCCCTCCAGGGCAGTAAAACAGTGTTTTCTCAAACTGCGTTTGACCGCGTCCTACTCAGCCGATGCAAGCATTTTCGGCGGACCACCCAGACCCCACCCCTGGGGGGAGGAGGGGAGGGCATTTAGATCTAAGGATTAGGGTAGTTTAATCAGGGTAGTTTGCCTAAGTGAACTTTTTAAATATTAGCATCATAAGTAAAAACATTAATGTACGAAAAAACGAAATTGTTGTCCGGATCAACTTGCATTTTCATCAGTCCGCGGACAACCTGGAGGACCATCCCGTACGACTGTCGGTCCGGGGAGCAGACTTTGAGAAGCACAGCCCTAGAGCCAGCTATTTATTATTAATAATACCGGCATATGGGTAGGTGTGCATGCTGCCGTGGTGTGACGGTTCGCGTGGGGGACTTGCAATCCAGAGGGTGCCGATTATAACTCTCGGCGCAGCAGTTGAAACAATGAATGGCACGTTGCTTAAATCTCCCCGTGACATTGTCTACCCAGCAATGCAATGGGCACTCCGCCGCTAGTTACTATGCAGGTCGCGTAAAATGCAGGCTCTCCCACCTCTCCCGAGACGTCTGGCCAGCGTGCAGGAAGAGTAGGCCAAATACCATCGAAGGGGGCTCTCTAGAGCCCCCTCTACTTGAGACTCTTTCGTCAAAAGTGGCATGGGAAGGTAATTGCAGGGGCTGCGCCTTTAACTTTGTTTACGTTTAAATGGGATGTCTTTTCGGCTGCCTTCTTCTAAATATCTTTCACTGGCTTAGTCTAAAGGGCGACCTTTTGTCTCTTTGTTATGAATGCATTCCCCTTTCCAATTGTCTCCACTGGGTACATACTGCAATGGATTGGTCTGTTCCTCAGTGAATTCATCAACGATATTTTACAAGTAAAATCGAGCTAATTGGGACAAAAGGGAGAACTGCTCTTACGTACAACAGTACTTTACTATCGAGGTCGAACATTTATGAGTCAAAAGTTCCGTGCTGAAAAATCACAACGTAAATACAGTATGAACAAACGTGAGTTCACGTGAGCAGCAACGTTTACTAGAAACAAACAAAGCACTCGGAATGCGCCCGATCCCGTAAGATACTTGGAAGCTAAGCAGGGATTTGTGGCTGGATAGCGCTTGGATGGGTGACCACCAAATACAAACGGGCCGTCATAGGCAGCTACGGGGCTACATTGCCATCAGGGAACCAACCAGTGCATCAAGGTCCGTTGTACTGCACGATGCTCCAACGTCTGTGCTCCCCGTCTTCACGAGCCCGCACTGACCAGCGTGGTGATGTGTGGTTTTAATAACCCCCAAGACCCGCACAGCGTGTGGAGGTCCTCATGCAGCAGTGAATTGATTGACCGAAAGGGATGTGAACGGACGCGTGTTTGCAACTTCCCATCTTCAGTGTCCCGCACGCTATGCACACCCCCTTGTTTGACCCTTCACGACGCTCGCCTTACAGCCATCTCTGGCCCAGCTTGTCCGACCATCTCGAGCGGTGTTTCTCAAACTCTTTTTTTATTTGTCCCGCGGACCGCTCAGCCGATGCAAACATATCCGCGGATCACCCAGCACCCCACCCCTGGTGGCAGAACGCATTCGCTTCTCTCTAAATACCGCATGCAAAATGAATCATTTTACTGGAACTGTTTCTTTTACGCAGCTATAAGGTTTATTTTTTTTTTGGGGGGGGGGGTGGGATTTCAATCTTAGAGTTAGGGTAGTTTAACCAGGCTAGTTTAGCTAACTCAATTTATTTATTAAATACCATGAGTAACAATATTTATGTACGAAACAAAAGGGATACACATTGTCATTATTTCTAAATTTACATTACAGCCCCGCGGACCATCTGGAAGACGCTTTGAGACCCGCTGATCTCGAGCAATGCTTCTGCGTTGTCATACGGCTCTCCCGCACCACACTGCGTCTCATTGTTCCACCCTAAGCAGCTCCCCCCGCGCAGGATTTTCTTTCTTGATGCGGGAATATCGCCTTTGAAAATCTAATTCTGTTAACAATGAGGGCAATGTTTCATCACAGCATACCAGCGCCTAAGTCACCCTGCTTTGCTCTTGAGCCTATTACGGTACAAAAATAACACTAGATATTCTCAAACCGCCCACCAATGGATAAAGGTTTCCCCTTCACCATCTCGATTGATCAAGGGGGTGTTGTTTTGTTTGACAATACTTCACCACACTGTTGAGTGCGAGTTGCTAAAAGAGCAGAGGGTAGTGTTAGTTTTGATATCATTCGCCACTGATATATTGGGAAGCGTGTTAACTGCTGTGCCACAGCTTCACCACGAAACCTATCACACAAAAGACAAATACCCCCCATATATCCTTGAACAGGCTGTTGGGGCAAGTGCTGTTAGAGAACATCAATGAAGACCGGCACGGCACACGAAGGGGGTGAGTAGCCAGCACCACGCCTGGCCATCTTTATCGCCCTAGTGGCGATGTTTACCCATCGCACCAGGTGCTCGTTTGAGGCTGAATCGACCCAGACGAGGCCCAGGACTGGTTTAGATAATCGTCACTAGTGTTGGCTGCGAGTGGGAGTCGAGCTCGGGTCACCGGCTTTGTAGCGCAGCGCGCTAACCACTTCGCCACCGCTCCCACACAAACTATCCCACACACACACAGTTTTGTTATTTAGCAGGCGCGATTGTGGCTTAGGTCCTGAGGGAATTTTGCTCCTAATCAGGTGGCGGTGCTAAGCAATATCCTCCTCAGTGGGCTCTCTAACAGCGGATGGAATTTTCCGATTAAGTTTGCTCAGCGGATAAGCATTTTTTTCGGAGTACAACGTGAAATTCATGATATTACTCCACGGAGGAAAACCCCAAAAATGCCTTTTTTTTGGGGGGGCGGTAAAATGCGACGTGAAAAAATGTAAACGAAATGCAAGCGTGGCAAACGAGGTCTCACTTCACTCTTCACTGAAATTGTGCTTTGCAAGATTGATAAACGAGCAATCTGGAGACATTCAATAGCAGTACCAGTTCGGTCAATATTTCTGCAGTCACACCGCGAAATTTAAGGGTGCTTGGATAGTGAGTGCCCTAGCTTGGTAGACATAGGCTTTGGTACAAGGAATTAAATCAATTCCCCCCCCCCCCCTCACGCCCTTCTCCTCCTTCGTGGCCTCGCGCCGGTCCGGTACAGTTGCACCGCCTGCACACCCAATGGCAACTTCACGAGGGTGGGTGCCTTTCGCACCTCCAATTAGCACGGTTGGCTTCGTACGGTGCGAAAGAAGTACAACACACGTATATGCCGTCAACGTTTTTTTGGCAATGCACCATGCTGTATATTTTATTTATTGCGCCTGTAACTCCCAGTAGGTCTGACTGCTTGTGAAACAGCTCTCGGAGAATTTTCACTTTATTTTGAGCCTCTTTAATTTCCTGCTACATTGTAGTGGTGTGCAGTTCACGCGTGACATTTTCATAACTTTTATAAATGTGTGTTCATCGCCCATCAAGTGTGGCTGCGCTTTTGTTGCTATTGTTGTTTGCGCATCTTAGCATTCTTGCAAAGCAGCTGGAAGGCACCGGCACTGCTGTTTCTTCAAATTGTATCCTGAGGCCCTAAATCATCGTTCAAGGTGGGCAAAGTTATTTTCTGGCACGTAAAGGAAATTTTATTGCTGATAAACACAGCTGCCTGGGTGAAGCCGACCCCGGGTGTTTCAGCTTTTATTATTCACATCAAATGGAATGTACAGCAAATGCATCACTGCAACTAATACAACAAGCAGTGCAATGTTGTAGCAAGTGTGTAACAATTAACCCCCACCCCCCGGCGAGTCGATGCACTATCGTGACTCAGAGCCACAATTCTATTCAAGGTTTAATGACCGTATTCTTCAGTTTATATAAGACTCTCCCCCCCCCCACCGTGTTTTTTATTACAGCAAAGGTCGGCGGAGCGTCTTACAATCCGGTAGGTGTCGTGTATGGCCATTTTAATCAACCTCATTGACCCCCAGAACACCTTTTGGGCGCATCTTACTTTTAGGAGATTCTTATAATCCCATAAAAATTGTATTTATATTGTGGTGAATCTAGTGGCTGCTTCCGGCAGCGGGAGTCAAGTTGACCCATGACATATACTGTGTACACGAGGTGCAGTACTGTACACGTACGAACGTATACGGCGCTTTTGTCATCCACTGCTGTACGAAGGCCTCTGTACCAATGTGCGGTGATGGGGGTCATTTGACTACACAGTATATACACACACACCGGGTTGGTCAGTGCGGGTTGCTGAAGGTGGGCAGCATGGGCAAGGAATCATACGCACACTGCAACAGAGGTACAAGTATCTCTAGATTTTGCGAAAAGAGATGCGTCGTTCAAAAAAAAACCACACGCGTCAAAACGAAATTCCGTACATTGGAATGGCTTTTCCCATTGATGTAATGCAAAAATGTAGGGATGGGTTTCGGACAGTCATTCTAACTCAACTTCTAACCTAAAAAAAGTACACATACCACTTTGTGCATTACAAAAATAATAACAATAAAGAACATGAACCTTAAAACCATTCACAAATCATGAATTTAAAAAAGAACAATTATTTACCATTTCGGTGAACACACCAAAAGATGTGCATGTTGGAATGAGTGGAAAGGTGACGTTAGGGGTGCCACCGCTGCACTGCAGGGATACACCAACACGCTGTCGCGAAGGGTTGCCACGGGTTCCCGGGTGTATCTTGTTTGACCTCATGTCGCGTGCGGTGTGAAATTTCGTTGACGTGAAAAATCGATGTCGTTCATCGAAAAGTGTACAAAATATGTCAATTGCGTTAACGCCAAATTTCGTAAACCGAAACGTTCGTAAATCGAGGGATACCTGTACAGTACCGTATATTGCTGCACTGCCCTCTGCTGTCGAGGACGTACCCTCGCAAGTCCTCTGACAACCGGGTGATGTGCTCCAATGGTAGCGTGTTTGCCGCTTGTTATAGAGGGTCGTGTTTCCTTATTTGGCTATTATTGCCGGGTTTATTCACCCTTTCCCGTTCCGAGATGTCTGCAAGTTGCACGGTGCGTCCTGTTCACCTCTAAATCTCGGAACACGCAAACAGTTTATGCATTTTTCTTAGTTTTTTCGGTAAAGTCACGTTGAAGAGAAACAACAAAATAACAAAATATATATATATAAAACAATAAAAAATTCTCACGACGTTTTGGTCGAAACGTCGTGAGAATTTTTTTATTGTTTTATATATATTTTGTTGTTTCTCTTCAACGTGACTTTACCGAAAAAACTAAGAATATGAATTACTGCAGTCACGAAAGCTTTAAATCAAAGTTTATGCATTAATTGTATTTAAAGAGGCATAGCGCCGTTGCTTTTAAAGACATTGTACTCACCGCAGAGAACTGTAGCGACACGACCGCACTCTATGATAGCTGGCGCCAACTGTGCCACACGCCCTCCCGCATGGCCTTCTGGGAGCCTTTGTACCGATAAAGTTATTTTTTTCCAGTTTTTTTATGATGTACACGTACGTCGACGTACACGTATGTGCACGTACGCAATCGGAACGGGAAAGGGTTAACCATCAAATATGCGCCATCAGATTCACTGAGGACGTTAAACATCACGTGATGCCATTCAAAACCAGTATGCCACGTGTGTGCCGGCGTCGCGGTCCAAATTTTGCCAAATTTGAAAGTCGTATCCTGAGTTACTCAATTGTGATCACGCATGGCAGACGAATTGCTCACAGGGCTAGTGCTGAGGAGTCACCTTGTGCCGCACATGGTCGGTTGCCACTGAGGGTGCCCTTACAAATGTGTTGAGATTGTGACGTGGGTGACAGACATGTCGCGTGCAAAGCGGTTTGACACACCCCGGTGCGAAGGTTGCCCTATCAAAAAACAAATAATGATTCTGCCATTGCTATCCAGGCTCGAACCCGCTTATTCTGCCAGATCTAGCAAGATGAGGTGCATTCCGTGTAATCTGGTGAATGGTACGCAACATGTAGCAATCGAAAACTACAAAAAAATGGTATTTTGAGCTTAAGAATCGATATTACTTGGCAAATCGATGCACGTTACAGACCTAATAATATGCGTGACGTGTGTGCTTTCTAAGACAACCCAGCTGGCATATGACATGTGTGAAGGAATTGAAACATATACGATGCTGCGAAAATGAACAGGCTGGATGATCAAGAGCCTCACCAACGCATGCTAATGCATGGACGGTAATGGCCACAAACCAAACACACCGCAGTCTACAACAAAAACAGAGCAGCCTGCGACTGCTTTTCCACGAAATTCACCACACTGTGCAGAGAAGTTATAGGGCCACCCAGAGGTTCCTGGAGGCCCAGGGCAGAATGCCACGTGGGGCCCCTTATTCTCTAGCGACAAAAAAGGACAAGTCTATTGTGGGGGTCCTCTTTTGTGTGAGGCCCAGGACAAAGCTGCCCCCTTTTGTCCCCACCCCTTCCGTCCCTCTGGGTGGGCCTGCAAACAGACACCAGTATGAGCATTTACACTGGGAAACATTCTTAAACGTCATCTATTGGGTTAGAACAGTTTCAGCATATTTATATATCTTAAGACCACAAGAACTCAGGGAAATTTTAAGGTAATCATCACTGGAAATAGTTATCACAACGTTTTTTTTATATAAATATGTTTACAGTTTCCTTGAAAAGTTAGTATCAGTCATAATAAAGGTTTTTGGGTTAGATCGCGTTATTTATAAATGTGTCGCATCCCTCCACCACCCGACACGGCCAATCAGTAAAACATGTGTCAGGTTGACAAAAGACAAATAGTTCACTACTTTAGCCCACCGGTGTGTTGAAGAGTGAATCTACAACATTTACAATTTTTGAGTATGCCGTTTCGCTGGTATCCAGAATCATCGGGCAATTTGCCAGAATATCAGTATTCATCCAATTATTTTAATTGCTCAAATCTGGCCAAATGTGATCTGGACAAATGCGATCACTGCGCCCTTATTGGGTAACCAGGATGACAGCTTCCAATAAGATGACAAATAAAGGTCACATGATGGCCCAAGGATGTGTACTATGAAGACTGAACGTTTTTTTTTTATGAATATAACTCTTTAGCAAACTCTTTTCATTAGACAGATGTAACTCTGTTACTCTATGTCATTCCCATACTGCGGTGCTACAGTTGCTCATGATAAATTAGTTGCTGCCTCTAGCAGAAGTTGTTTGAAAATCATAATCAAGCATATGTGGATTAGTATTAGTGTTTGTATGGTGTGGCTCTCCTCCTGAAGGCAGCATAAAACATATACAATTTGTCCTGACCGGGTCAGTTCAGACAAACACAGACCAATTAGAATTTGTAAACGCAGTTGTTGTGTGCGAAAAGTACTTGCTCATTAAAAATAAAAAAATGTGAAATGTCAAAAAACGATGCTTCCAAAATAATGGCCCAAAAAAATACTAATGTTCGTTGAGTGCCAGAGCTGCGGTGTAATGGCAAGCCTACTGCCCGAGTTCGATTCCCAGACATGGCGGCAAACATGAGCACCGAGTTCGATCTGAACCAGTCCTGGGCACCCCCTTTCTTCACCACCCCACCTCAATTAGCATGGTGAAGTAGGGACAAACAACCACCACGACCGACCCTGTATGAGGAAGCCTTCATCCAGCAGTGACTTGGCAAATGGCTTTAACATTCTCTCACAAATAATAAACACTCACCATGTAGGTGAGATCGCGCAAGTATGAATGTTTTGATTTAAAGCTTTCATGACTGCAGGGATTCATATTCTTGGTTCTTTCGGTAAAGTCACGTAGAAGGCAAACAATGAAATAATAAAAATATAAAACAATAAAAAAATTGTTTCCCTTCTACGTGACTTTACCGAAAGAACCAAGAATAAATATGAATGTGTCGTAACCCTCCACCACCCGACACAGCCAGTACCATGAACGGTGCTCTCTTTGTATCATGTTGGTGTTTTAATGAGCTCACGACGTTGGTCATAAACCTGTAAATGTTTCCACATTTGGGTGAATCCATCAACAGATGAGTCCATGTTCAGTGGCATATTGTATAGGATGCTTAAACTTTATTTGAATAATGCATGTTAAAAACATAATTTACTTGGTAATTTTTGCCATAAAAAATGTGTTTACACCGTTTCAATTGCTTACGTGACATTTTTGATGTTACAATTCTGATCTGTTAAATCACTGACATGTTCTGTTTTGCTATCCTTGTACCCCCCTGCTCTGGAGATCGCCCTTGAGGAAGAGCTAACAACCACACTGGAACTTCCCCCGGGGAAACCATGACATGAATTTGAAAAACGCACATTTTTCGCATCGGAATTTAACCGTCTTTACAACATTCAAAAACATTCAACAGAAGCGCGCGCGACGTTCACTTCAAACAGACATTATGCTGGTTATAAGTCGTAGCAGTCCCTGACGAGAGCCATTTCCGGCACCGTCTGATCGCACGGTGATCCCTTGGGCCCTGCGTCGCCAACCGCTCCGAACGGGCCTCCTTCGGCAACGGCTGACTCGACGCGAGTGAAATCTGTCCGGAACCACGGGTGCTCGAGGATTTCCGGCGCCGTCAGCCGCTGAGCCGGATCGTAGCACAGCAGGGCTCGCAGGAGGCAGCAAGCCTCTGGCGACAGGCGCTCCTGGGACACGCCGTTCTGGCCCCAGCACATCCCGTCGCCCTCCTGGAAGGGGTAGCGTCCCAGCAGCATGGCATACAGAGACACACCGAGGCCCCACACGTCCACCGCCCGGTCCAAGCGACCGACGTCCTGCGGAAGGCCCCCAGAACTCGTGCAAAAGTCAGTGCCGCGTTTCTCTGTGTGAAGGTCGCTCGCAAAGTGGTTGTCACTCGGAGCCGAGTGAGCATCTTCCAGGCTGACCAGCATTACGTGGGTCCTGGCGGGAAGAGAAATTATTCCCTAATTATGTTGAGTCACAATTGACGGGTACATCCTGTGTTGAGCGGAGCTACTGCCGGAATCATACGTTGTATTCAGGGGGTGGCCTTCATTCAAAGGGGGTGACTTGGTAACCGAGAAAATATTATCATCAAGAAGCTTTCGTTGAATAGGTACTAGATGAAAGTGGATTTTTTTTAAGTGAAATGATTAAGTTGATTGTGCAGCCATATGTGTATAGATGATATGATAAAAACTATCAAAAGTAAATTGCAAACTATTCTGATGAATTATGGTTGTCTTTCATTATGGTACATCCTGCTGATGAAAGCTTAATTTATATAATTTGTCAGGCTGATATGAGATAAAATGTACATGTGGATGTGCAGCCCTTTTGTCATTCCACTGCTGAAATGACCCAAATCTTGATTTTAGCTGGATCTCTCCAGGCTGGCGAAGGGAAAAATACCTATGCACCAGCTACCTGGAAAATATTCAGCGATAAAATGAAGCCCCGCGTAAAACAAAGGCAACGTTTACAACGCGATAAATAATACAAAGTGCGTCACCTCTCCGCATCTGCGAACACAAAGCGCCGCAGGCTGAGGCCTCCCAGGACCAGACCGTTGCTGTGGCAGTGGGCCACCGCCTCGGCCATCTGTCGGAAGAGCCGGGCCGACTCCTCTTCGCTGAGCCGACCTCGGGAGCGCACGTAGGCACGCGCGTCGCCTCCCGCGGCTCTTCCGAACAGTGCGTACGCGCGCGTCTCTCCCAGCACGACTGCGGACGGGCGCGCTACACATGTGTGCACCGGCAGGTGGAAGTAGGGCGCCAGCACAGCCTGCCAGGTCTGCAGCTCCAGCACCTGACGGCAGCCAGGGGGCATATGCAACAAAAAAGAAATGTCAATTATGTGTCATTAATATATCTTGCCCACATGCTCTGGGTTGTGTTTTGCTGTGGCCCGGTACTTAGCCTCGCTCGTGCAGAAATGCGTGTTGTTCGCACGCAGCGCAGAATAATTCGTGAAACATTTTAGATTCCTCCGTGGATCCCTGTATACATTGCGACTTGTGAATTAATTTAAGTTTTGATTACCGTTTGCTACTTTTGCTGATATATTTTTTTTTGCTGGCAGTATTTGTCACTTGTTCTGCTCTGAATGTTTTCTGCATCGATTTTTTTGTGTGTCCAATGTTTGTTCTGTGCTCATATCTTGTACCACGGGTCTTCTTTGCGAAAGATAATTCCATATGAATGGGTTCGCTCTAGGTTATAAATACAGCTCATTGATTTGTTGTTCTGCTGAGAGATTACCTCATAGTTGGGCTTTACCGATCTAAATGCACACACGTATTTCGGCACTTCTTCCTGGCGCAATGAACAATGTTGACCAAACTAAGATGAACAAACTCCATGGACATAGATTGGTACACTTATTATTCCTGTTTTTTCAATTCAGGTTAGAGGCTACATTTCAAACAGAGGATTTTGGCAGGACTGGCTCGGTCAGTTTATTATCAGCTCTGAATGACCTATTGACCCTATTTTATGGGAATGCCTAACCGACAATCACAACCCGATATATTATCCATCCCCCGTTGCAAAACATTATTTTGGTTCTTTTCTTAAGTCTTGCCAAAAAAATGTAACGATACAATAAAACCGTAAAAAACCGTGATCATTTTCACGCGACTACTTGTAAACATGTAAATGTCCTACTCGGAGCCCTTAAACAGTTGTGCAACAGCCATGTCGGCTCAACACGCCATGATAAAGATTACAACATCCATCGCACCATGTTTGCATAGATGGTTCTCAACTGGGTAAAATAAAGTTCACTAATGGACTACATTTCCTTTGAGCCATTATCAAACCAAGCAAGAAGCCACGTGTTAATTTGTAAAAAAAAAGAAGCTTGCTATCTTAGAATTCCCTATAGAGCCAGTGTGTGTTTCCGGCTCGCATTTATGCTGGGATAATGTGCTTGGAAATTGATCATGTGCTTTGTGTCACTGTGGTAATGGTCGCCGTGCATTGATTTGGCCCAATGAGCACTCAGTACTATCAATGGACACTGAGCATTATCTCCTTGTCTGCACGTGCAGGCCAAGCACTAAGGCCACATTACGTTGGGGCAATTTTACAGCAAATTTTAGGGCAATAGCTACCTGCATTTGTTACCGGCAATAGCTGTGGCGCCATTTTCTTTTGAAAAAATAATTTTCGGGACCAAAATCTGGATGAATGTGATCACTGCTACCCCTAGTGGACAACTGGGATGGCAACTTCCAGTCAGATCCCAAACAGGTCACATGACTCTACTAGATTTATTTTTTCTCTCTAAACCAATCGTTGTTTGTCAAACACACTCTTCAACGAGCTTTTCAAAACGTTGTCACTCATTGCAGTAGTTACTTAAATGAATTATGTTGCCAGTAATAATTTCCGGGTACGATATCCCTAAACTTAGCTTAGAATTTCCCCAGTGCACCGTGGCCTATAAGGACTGGGTTGCCATGGTGATTGCCCAGAGCACAAAGCTGTGTTTGGCACTTAAAATGCACGATTTTATAGTGTATACCCAATGTTACCGATCTATTATGAAGCCCAAGAGGGAGGCGTGACACTCACGCACACGGGTTAAATGACAACAAATAATGAGTAATGCTTACACAGACGGATTACATAACAAATAACAATTGAGAGCGCTATTGCCAGGGGATCACTTAAAAATGGGCACTAAATATGATCCAAGGGCAGGGGTGGGGAGCCTACTGTCCGTGACTTTCATTTCACAGACACTTCGACACAACCCGCAATCGATATTTACCCGTCACTGCAAGCATCTTAGCCTCATACATCGGGTTCTGGAGTGGAGCGTTTACGACCTGGAAACAACACACTTAGTGACAGAAGTGACTAAAGTGTGTGTATATGTTAATGCGGTTGTCTCCCAAAGATATTTGAACGTCCTATTCGGCGCTCGGTAGAGAAAGGATTTCCCAGTCGTGGCCTCCGGCCATCTAGGCTGGGCTTATGTTTGATTTCTTGAAGTAGGGAGCTTCTTGAGGAACTTCAATTTGCAGTTCAGGAACTTCAGTTGCTGAAGCAGCTCCCAGCACGTTGAGCGAAACGGACATCGTGCCAAACAACACACGGTTACTATTCTATGTGAAAACAGATCGGATTAACTTTCATAAGTGCCGAGGAGGGGGCGTCTCGCCTCACCTTGCACACCAACTCCTCGCCCGTGTGCGTGTCCACTGCCGAGAGCATCCTGTCCTCCGACGGGGCCTCCAGCAGCACGTACTTGTCGACGCGTGCCAGCGGGCACACTGGCGAGGTGGCAGAAGGCGGTGCAGGGTCAGGGGCCGCCCTCGCCGAGCAGCCTCTCGGCGAGAGGAGAGAAGGCCTTCTCCTCGCTCCCCTCGACGCGTGGTGCCGCTTGTGGGATTTCATCGTTCGCCGGAGGGAGCTCGACGCGACGCTAGAATCTTGGAGATTCATTTCCGCAGTCGCTCTCTTGAAACTCCAGGCGCAGGGGAGGATCCGCGTCCTCGTTTGTGGCGGTGTCTGCGGACGGTGAAAAGAACGATTCCCAATTTTGTTCCAACTGCGCTACCGTGTATCTTGTCGTGGGGCAAAGTGTCTCTCGGAGAGTGGCGGAATCATTGTTTACGAAATGACGGTCCCACAGAAGCCGATGTTACAAAGCTACCTCTGAGATTTCCATCCACTGTACACGTTCTCTGCATTTGCTCGTGCGGATTTTGTAACGCGAACGCAAGTGCATATCATCGTCATCGTCAGCATGATAGAAGGCCTCCCCAAACAAGCATGTGCACTATGAACCCGGCGACCTGTGTTCAATTCACAGCCATACATCAGTGAAGAACGATAATGTGAACTAGTGCTGCCCCCCACTTTAGCACCCCGGACTGCGCCGCCTGGTGAAGTATGGTCAAACAAATCCACATCACCGACACAGCGTGGTGAGGTCTTCATCCCGCAGTAAATTCACAAATAGCTGTAAACATTTTTTCGTAAGTAATTACTATACTCCATATGAATTCTACGTCGATAAATATAAGTTTACATGATATTAAACATTACTACTTCAGTGAACTCTCAGGATGACGAAAACAAGTTTAAATAGAAATTACAATAATAGGATTTGGGACAGGAAAGGAGGCTCTCACTCTATTTGACAGCTCTTAAGGCTTGAGCCCAGTCAGACTTCCTCCTTAAGAACCCGGCAATTTTTCTTCAATGATAAGTATTTGCAGTCTCACCATCATTGCAAGGCCTGCAATTACGTTTAAAATATAGAAATAAATTCCACAGACAGCACCTACCACAGCGCAACACTTACCCTCCCGCTTCCCGCAGATATGCGATGGCTGAGCATCGATCACGATTCGGCAAGCAAAGGTTCACCTGCCCATCTCTCAGTTCCAAGGAGCTCTCATCACACTTGCGATTGCATAACAAGGCATGGCTGTGAGGAGTTCTTCGTCTCGCTGAGCCGTAACATCATTATTACCATATTCTTGGTTCTTTCGGTAAAGTCGCGTAGAAGGGAAACAATAAAATAATACAAATACAAATCAAAAAATTCTCACGACGTTCCGACTGCAACACAAGCAATCATCATCAGTTGTGAAAACCACAGCAAGAAAATTTGAAAAATTTTCGAAAATTTGAATTTTTTTTGCTGTGGTTTTCACACCTGATGATGATTGCTTGTGTTGCAGTCGAAACGTCGTGAGAATTTTATTGTTTTATATTTTTATTATTTTATTGTTTCCCTTCTACGTGACTTTACCGAAAGAACCAAGAATATGAATCCCTGCAGTCACGAACGCTTTAAATCAAGATCATTATTACCGTTACTAATTTGCAATGCATGGAGTTACATGCGGGCACGCAAATGCCATGTTAATCATACCAATATTGCCAAAGTACTAATAACTCGATGATAGTCATTATTAAGATAGAAACTTGTCAAATAAATGTGGAGTTTCCACAGCTGGATTGAGGCCGACACTGAGGATGAGCACTGCTCCATGCTCATGTTTTAGCAAGAAAACATTTGAACTGACTGATTAATATTCAGAATAACGATGCAATTTATTTATCCGTCACAAGCCTCACGGAATCTTTCCGCTACGTTTTGCTTCAGTAGTTACATAAGTGCATTGTTACGTAACACTGTGCATACAATTATAAGTGTTTACGTGTAAGAGTGCATACGTGAGGATTATTTGAAGACAATAAGAGACGCAGCACATAGACAATAATAATGCAATTGAACCAGGAAAGCTTCACCGAGACTCAAGGCTCTCCAAAGAGCATCCTATTACATTAAGAAGTTTGGCCAATTACGTTCCTGATTGTTTGGCTTCTTTGTAGGAAGGAAATCTGAATGCCTGGAGAAACCCCACCGTGCGTACGGTGAGTGGGAGACACTCAGCACCGCCATCTCCTGGCCACCTCGCAACCCCGTTGCTTCAGCAGCCTGTGGTCACCCATCCGAGCACGAACCAGGCTCAAAATCTGCTTAGCTGCTTGAGATCGTACGAGGTCGGGCGCCTTTAATTTGGTCACATGCAGCGAGACCGCGATACAACGCAACCGCAGCGTATCTCCACTTTACGCCGGATGCATGAAATAAATATGAACACAACTCTCAGACGCACCTTTGCATTTTAACCCTCATTTGCAAGGCAAATGCGCAGTGCACGGTCTGCCGAGGAAGTCTCACCTCCGCGTCGCCAATTCCAGGCGCATAAAAAAAAGACTTGTGCCGCTACGAAACTTGGGGGCTCTCTCCTGCAGTCGAAGACGGGGGCGACGCTGCCGCTTCTGCCGCTGCCTGTCGCGGTGATGTGGGAGACGGAGTGAGGAGGATGAGGCGTTTTATGACAGCGCCTCCACCGGTCGGCTGGGATGACAACCGCGCGACACTCACCCCACCTTCCCCGTGCAGTCACCGCTACCCACCCCCCTACCCTCTTCTCTTTAACACCCATGCCTCCCTCCACTCCAGCACCTCCCCAAGGGGGCGCATGCACAGAGTGTACCCAGTCGGAGGAGAGCCACGCCTCACTCGCAATTTCTCAGAGTGCAGCCAGAAGTGCGCGTGCTGGAACACCCTCGCGATGGGCGGGGGAGGGAGGGAGGGAGGGGGGGGCGTTGATGTATTTGACGTTCAACCTCGTAATGGCATTGCGTGCCATTCTGAGAAATACGTTCACCGGGGAGATGGAACGATGCAATCTCGTGCGCGGGCGCGAGGTGGAACCTCGCAGGGCCACGAGAGACGGCGACGGCTTTGGAAAGCCTTCCTCCAGCAGTCAAAGAATCGGAGCTGATAACGACGACGACGATGATGATGACGATGCTTTACCCGCGTGATGACACCCTGTGATTCTGAGTAGTCAGTAGCATCGGGCTGAGGCCGTCAACTCGCTACGCTTGACAACCCAGTTTCATCACGGACAGGAGGCGTGGATTTGAGCTCAGGAACTCACCGTTGCCTGCTCAAGCGCTCAGACGTCCGAGCCATCCGGAGCCCTGTAGTGCGTTGCACTTCATTAGCACAGCACTTCCCCGAATGCAGCCTCCAGCAGTCAAGAGTGCGCGTGGCTCCCAATAGGAATGTCTTCAGAACAAATTACTGACGCTTGTCGATTCAGGACCTCATCTCCCCCGAGATGAGGTATACTGTATTAATCCCACGCGGTTGGAAGTTAACGGCGATTGGTTCCCACCATAGCAATATCTACCGTTTTCTGTCAGTGGAAAAAATGATGGCCAGGTGGTGGAGACTAACGATGGAATGGCAGCCAAAGGGGAGGGGGGAAATGGCTGGAGAGGAGATGGAGCAATGAAATCAGGTCGTGTGCAGGTGCTCGATAGATTGTTGCGTCTCAAAGCCCAGAGAGATGGCGGCCGCTTGGGGCGGCCTTTATTTAGCAGTGCAATGACCATGGCTGATGATGATGAGTTATTTGTCGTGCTGAATTGCTGCACATTTTTGACAAATGTCAGGACAATTCATCCTTGGGATTTTTTTTTTCACTACCCAAATTCAACCCAACCCATAAAATAAATATAGCATCTTTCCTACCCTCATCCAAATTGCCCTAAACAAAGGAAGCATTAAATATATTCATTATCATTCAACTTGCGCCTGATTCTGTGAATGAGCACAATAGCGACAAGTCGTGCCGGCAAGGTTCGCGTGGTCTCGCGAAAGGCGTGTGTCGTTTCCGCGTGGATGCGCGCGTGTGCGCGAGTCGTGACTGGCAGCATCCACCAATCCGGCCCACGCTCACGGAGGCTACGTACGGTCAGCCACCGCAGAAACAGCGGGGGGGTTTTTTTTTGTCTTTGTGAACGTGCAAAACATCGTCCCGTTGTTATGCGGCGCTCGCTCGCTCGCTCGTACGCCTCGCAAAGGCGCTCTTGATCCCAGAAGGTCACAAGGGGGTGGGCTGTGGTGGGAGTGGAGGGGGGGTGGTTGGCGAAATGAGGAGAGGCGCTCACGGAACATTCTGTGCTCCGCGCGAGCGGCCTCACGACGCAGAGACGATCTTTATATCGCGGCGGTCGCGCGGGGAAGGTGTTGACGCGTCAATGAGGCTGAATGAAAATCACCCGAAGAACGACTTCGCCACGCACATGTTTCTCGAATGCTTCCGCAGGGAGAGGAAGACGGATCGTTCCAGCAAATTAAGCTGTGTCGAGATGACTCACGCATGCGTTGCGATAATTCCGCGACTGTGAGCATGCTTACATGCACATGTTTGGGCATCTCGCGTTGTTATTTAACTGGCTCGTGAATGCAGCTTAAGATTGAGGTTCCAGTTACATTTTTCCTATTTTTTCCCCCCATTGTGCGCCACTGTAAAAAAAAAAACAACAACATAATTATTACCGTCATCATAAGCCATGATCTGTCCGATGCTGAATGAAAGGCTCTCTACTCCGACGTAAATTCCTCATAGTTTTCCGATGCCCAAACTCCAATAATTTAATCAACCCAGTCTATGAATAACAATAACAATACCCTAGCAACAATGCATCCAATTGGGTGAATTAGTGGTAAGTGCCCTTGCACTGTGAACCCGAATACAATTGTGGCAAAGTGGCGAGTCGTGTCTGAACTTGTCGTGACCACCCGTTCCCCTTTTAAAGATCCTCGTATGAAATGGAATACTTTTTTCAAAAATAATAAAAACACTCACCGACACAGACATCCCAAACCCCCATTATCGGAAAGCCACTTCTACTGTCAAAGCACGTTTGAGTACCAGAGTAATCCCTTCATTCATTATCACAAAAGGATAAAGATCCCACGTTAATAGTATTAAAGTGCATTAGAACATAACATCCCCGGCACATAAGAGTACCTGAGTGTTCACTGACCATTCTGCCATATTTTCCCTGCATAACATTGTTGGTAATAATCGCTTATTTTAATCTGAGTTGACCGAAAGAAGGTCCTCTCTTCATTACTAACATCCCTTCTAGCGACCTATCCTGCCCAAACCAACTGACTTTCTTTAACAGTCAATGTAATTGATTTAAAGCTTTCGTGACTGCATGGATTCATATTCTTGGTTCTTTCGGTAAAGTCACGTAGAAGAGAAACAATAAAATAAAAAATATATAAAACAATACAATTCTCACGACGTTTCGACTGCAAGACAAGCAATCATCATCAGGTGTGATGATGATTGCTTGTGTTGCTGTCGATGATGATTGCTTGTGTTGCAATCGAAACGTCTTGAGAATTTTGTTTTATATTTTTATTGTTTCCCTTCTACGTGACTTTACCGAAAGAACCAAGAATATATAGTCATAATAAAGTATAGTCAATGTAATGTTTGTAATCTGTGTATACGATCTAGTTCACATGTTCCTATTTTTGTCTCTCTTTGTAATTGCAAACATACACCTCTTCATGCTTCATTGCACATTTTCCAATTTTTGCACAATTTAAATCTTGGTGAATGTCCATGTTTCTGATCCATGTCATACGCAGTCCTAAAGCAAATGCAGGCGGTCTCCCGTTTGTGACGGTCCTACGTATATTTATACACACTTCCGATGTGTATGCCACTATGGCTCGATTTACGACGCGCGAACTAGATTTACGCCGTTTCTTCCCACACGACTGTGAACACATTTGAACCTGGTCAGTCTGGTTTCCGATGTTTCTTGGCGTGCAGCTTTTGTTTTTTTCTCAAGTGGTTTCGTGCGTGCATTTTTACCTATGAAACCTGTAAAATATGGTCGATAAAAGGAAAAACAACATCGGCAAGTGATGTTTTGACTGTTTCTGCTGTCTATGTGAAAATAGGGTGCGACTTATGACGATCTGATTTACGATGAGGTTTCCACGATCGCATTGTCGTCAAAGCCGGGACCGCCTGTACATACTTCTGAGCACAAATGCATATTGGAGAGCATTACATAACCATGGATATTCATGCGTTTATCTTCCTTGTACAGTATTATGTTTTGCTTAATAAATAAATGTGAAGCAATTCGTTTATTTAAAACAGCCCGAATGGGTAAGTAGCGTGGCTCCTGTTCACGACACTGTGAAGTCAAATCATGATCAGGGTGGACTTGACCCATCAATCCCTCAGGGGCAGTTAAAATAAGTACCACTTTTCAAGACGTTTACTTTGGTTTTTCTATGTCAAGACTGTTCCCGCCATAAGAATGTAGAATTTTATCACCTCAATCAACCCTCCATCTCTGCAGTTCTTTTCCCGTTAACCAGCTCATTTATTCTCCACCTTCTTCCATCACCCCCTACCCACACATCCGGAAACACCCTAGATGGCTATGTACGGTGCGAAAGAAGAAGTGCAACACACATACATACTTCATTTTTCTCTCTGACCGCACAGCTTCCCCCATCAATACTGATCTCCACCCCCGTCCGATCACCTTCTCTTCACCCTGATCATCACTTTACCCTCCCCTCCCACCTTTGTACCATCCAACCTCACCCCACCCCCTTCTCCGCCACAATCTCCGTGCTCTCGACCCTTCCATGCTGGTCTCCCTCCTATCCTCGAGCACCCCCCCCCCCCACCACCACCACCACTTGTGACTTTTCCTCTCTTCACGATGACAACACCGCTTCTACTCTTGCTTTGGCTCTCTCTCTCTCTTCTTTTCTCGACACCCTTGTTCCTCTGTGTTTATTTACACCACCTCCACCTCAGCCCCCCCCCCACCTCTGCCTCCCTCAATACTCGGCAAGGTTTGCAAAGCCCCCTCAGCCCAGACCCACATACCTTACCATTCTCTTCTTTCCACTTTTCTTGCAGCTTTTGAATCTGAAGAAAAATAGTAATATTTATTATCCCTCATATCGTCCCTTGCCCCTCATCCTCGACAACTCTTTTCCAACCGTCAACAACTTGCTCCATCCCTCTGCTTCTACCCTGTGTTACTGTCCCTCCTGTTACTGTCACACCTACATCTTCATCTGAGTTCTCCATGGTCATTTCCAAACCAACCCTACCTCTTCCTGCCTCCCTTCTTCCTTGCCTCCTCCCCCCTCATCCTTCTCTACCTTGTGTCCCTTTTAATGCTTCCCTCTCCAAATGTGTCTTCCCCTCCACTTTCAAATCTGCTATTATGTCTCCTCCCCTCCAAACACTTTCGCTTGACCCTACCATTCCTGGCAATTGTCATCCTATTTCTCTTCTGCCTCACTAATTTAAACATTTTGGAACGCCTTGTTAACAACCAGCTCTCACTCTACGTTTCTTTACATTTCCTCTATACCCAATTTCAGTCTGGTTTTCACCCTCTTCATTCCACCGAAAGAGCCCTTCTCATTGTCCAGAACCATCTTGCAAAGTCCTTCTAGGCCGGTATTCCATTCTCGTTCTTTTTTTACCTTTCCTCCACCCTTGACACTGTTGATCACCCCGCTCTTATTTGCACCCTCTCCAACCCCGGCATCTACGACACCCCCCTCTCTTGGCTGAAGT